CCAATTATTCCAGCACCATTTATTAAAGAGGCTATCTTTCCTCCAGTGAGGGTGTTTGGCTCCTTTGTCGAAGATGAGGTGGCTGAGTGTGTCTGCACATAATAAATGTTCTTTTTGAGGAAAAGAATTGATTTCAGTTATCATATTCTCAACGTTTTTAGCTATAAAAAACTTGTACTATCATAAAAATCCCTGAAGCCTTCATCATTTATGAAAGCACATAGAAATTTGTGCTTTCTTTACTTACCTTGAGCATCTCACTGAGGATACTTGATGACCTTCTTTGAGAGCAGTTCCTAGAGGAGACTACCCCACTTATGAAAGATACACTGATGACTGTGGATACTGAGCAGGAAGAGGCCATGTTCTGGTCTACTCTTCATTTTTAAGGGTTTCTTGACCCCTGAGTAAATTCACTCCATTGAGCAACCAGCTCTTCATATCTGTAACCATATCCATAACCAGGTCTTCATATTGGGTTTTTATTAACCCAACTATTTGAAAAATAGTACAAATCTATGGGATATACTGCTTTTCAAGTCTGCAGACAACTCCAATGAGTCCTTTGCGCAATCACTTAGGGTTTTGGAGACTTCCGATCAGGAGAACCTCTGATTTATACCAACATACCCATTTGCAACTGATGAAATAGAGGCCTGGGGACCTCAGTTTAGATTCTGCAGTTGAGGTGGAGCTGGATAAGAGGAGTAACTTTTAATGTCCTATAGCATAGTAGAGTCACTATGCTTGGCCATGTTTAATTTATATTTAAAAATAGCTAGTAGAGAGGATTTTGATTTTCCCAACACAAAGCAATGATAAATGTTTGAGGTGATGAGTATATCAGTTACCTTGATCAGGTCACTGCATATTGTGCACATATAGTGAAATATCACATTGTACTCCATAAAATATGTGCAATTATTATGTGTCAATTAAAATAAAAAATAAATCCAATGAAAAGTGAACAAATGAACAAAAAGCAAACAAAAATATTTCTCAGGTGAATTACTAGCAAAATGAGAATTGGAATCTGAGTTCCTCAGCTCCCCATTCTGGGGTCCTTCCCATTCACCATCCCACTTCCATTTATTTGGAGCTATGGTGTACGTACCTGAGAGAAACTGCAGGATGCAGAAAGTATCCCCTATATGGTACTAAAAAGCCCCTTCTGTGCTTAACTCTCTACCAAGTTTGTGTGTAGCCATCAAGATGTCCCCAGGGCAAGGTATTTCTGAGGAAAGGTCCCCTCCTCTCTTACTGGTGCATCTTTCCCTCTTATCTGTCCAAGGCACAGTATAACCCAGGGTGTTACAGAATACACAAGAGGAGAAAACCTGGCAGCTATTCATTTCAACTAGATGTTTCTGAGGAATTAAAAACCAATTAAACTTAAAGAAGTAAAATTTTCAAAATCCAAGGATTAAAAAAAGTTAGAAAAGTTCTCAATGGGATGCACAATAATAGCTAACAGTTTTCTAAGCCTCAAAACACTTTTGTGAACTCCTCCCTGAAGAGTAGGACTGCAATAAAATATGTGAAGGGAAATTAGCATTTTTATGACATCTGAGTTCAAGTCATTATTTTTCTTTTGGATTTTTGATTGTGTAAGTCTGTGCTCATGTTTTCAAAAAAGTTACCTGCTCCCCAGTCCTATCTCCATTTCCCCAGCCTCCCACTTGATAAAAGATTTGGGTTAGACTAGTCAGGAACCAGGAAGTATTTTAGAATATTAAGCTTCTACTCTGAGAAACCAACTGAACATGATGGATTGGATTTTAATCTGTGGAACTAATAAAGTAGGTAGGGAAGTAAGAAGGATGGTGAGTTTTTTTTTTAAGTCACAAAGCAAAAACGGATCTGTAATTTATGTTCATTTTGTTTTAGAGACCAGGACTCTGAGAAAAGCAAATGTCAGAAAAAAAAAATGGTCCCCAGTGTTAAAGAACTCAGCCATTGATTGGTGGAACTCACTGACTTTTATGAGTCTGATTCAATCAGGGGAAGAGAAAAAGTATCCAATAAGCTCTATTGGAACTCACTCATCAATGCAGTTTTACAAATAGGGAAATAGCCACCCTCTACCACAACAGGATGTACATTGTTTTTTTAAAATTTTAATTTCTTATTAGGACATGTTTGCTGTGCCTAATTATTAGCTTCCTTGTGGGGAGTTGGTACATGTATATAACACATCTCAATTATGTTTTTTATTTCCTTTCCCCTCTCTTCCATCCTCCCTCCATTTCTTGATCCCTTTCCCCTTTGAGAAAGATTTATCTCTGT